ATGCCTTTAATGAATCCCACACACAATTTTTCTCATTTATTCCTAAAATAGTAGTATTTTAGAAAAATTATAATTTGTTTGACCCCAAAATTTTATAGTAGACACCAAAGAAAATTATCGTAGTCTGTTTGTACTACTTATTAAGCACGAGACAGTGGATTGGTGGTGGGGCAACAACGATACTTTCTGGTTTGCATACAAAAGAACCTTCTTAGAGTTGACTTTACGTTTCCAGAAAGAACCTTTTACTGTTTAAGTAGTAGGAAAGGATTATTGAAGCCAAATATTTTCCACAAATATGTGAATTGCTCGTCTTCGTAATTTGTTGTACTCGAAGTTTCAGTCCTACGGCCCCCTATAAAGGTTTGTGCAAATACAATCAGAAGGTGAATAAGTAACCCAAGCTATGTTCCTAGCACTATATTCGATACACAACATAGTTATCCAGTTGTAACAAGAGTGTCTATTGCTTAGCTTTTGGTCAGGTAAACGTTAAGCGCTTCCTAATGGCAAAAGGGCAGAGATGAGGTAGTGGCATGCGTTGCACTAGCACACATGCGTGGTCACGGGTTCGGTTTCCCGGATCGACATCCGCTTAGGCAAAGCAAGGCTTCCATCCTTTAGGTTCGGTCATTTGGTAGCAGATTCGTTTGAGAAGATAAATGCAATGTTTCTCCATCGGCTAGCTCCCGCAAGTCATTATATAGGGGTGTGGTGCGTTAGGAACGAAATGGTGGCGTCGCGGTGAGAGGGTCCTCTCGCGCGAAGGAATGTAGCAGGATGCAGCAGTAGGTAAGAAATACAAGAACAAAAGTACTAATAGTAGAATTATGCCTAAAATAATGATCGCATATCGATTGAGCTGTATGAAGAACGCTAGAGCTGTAATAACGGCGAATGAGTGGTCCGCGACAGCCGCGTGCGGCAAATCGATTACCCGAAATCGTTCCTAACGCCCGTCTCCCATTGTATAGGCCACATACGCATTCAATACTCTCTACGATTCTGGATGGAAGTCAAATAAGGGGGCGTACTTCTCAAATGAGGGATTGAATAACTTTCAAAGGCTCCACCCGTTGTCGTTAGACGGGACTGATTGAAGCTGGAACACCTCATTCTTCTATCCATTATCTTTATACATTCTCAGTGTCATCAGGCAAAACCAAAGTATTTGTTGAGTACTAAAACATCAAGTAACCACCTTCTTGAGCTTTCTTTGATGTTTGTAGTTGTGAAAAATGTTCGGAAACCAGCGTAAAACTGATGTCATCGCGCTGTTGTTTCGATTTTCCTTTGGAACACCCGATCGTTTAAGTGGAATCATAGGCGATGAACGAACATAAACTGCACGTGACCAGTTCACTTCGTTTCTCTTGGCGCCAGCGCAAATTTTGTGTCCCGTCACTTTCGATAGTGATGATATATTGGTGATTTTATGATATATTCAATGGTGTGATCGACAACAAAGGTGTTCGCTTCCTCGCCAAGAGGGGCTTCACCTAGTTACGGTACTTACCGTATTGCACAGATATCCAGATATATTAAGATACATACATATATCGCCTACAGGGTGCAGAACATAATTCTTTTTCGGGATAAAAAGTGTTTTGACATCGTAGGGGTTATTTTAGTGAAAGATTATAACACTGAAGTATCCCTTAACCAGGTTACAGGACATCCAATGGTCTCGAAACGATTTTGAAACGCTTGTAACTTCCGGTGGATGATTCCTTTACACTTATTGATGGCTTAATTTCTACTGAAAATTATTGTTTCTTGCTCGAACGAAAAAAAACACACGCCTTCACTCCCACCCTCACTCTGGCTTTCAGTACGCTTTCAGTGATCTCATCATGACCGCACTAGACGTCTCAACTGGTATTGTTGCTGTTGAAATGTTCCGGTCATTCTTCTTTCTAAAGAAAAACGATCGTCTAAGTGCTCCATCGGAGGGACAAAAAGTCGCTCTCGATAAAACGAGAGAACACAGGCCTTGGAAAAAGACGGCATGTTGCAAAACCTCCCATTTCCACATGCTGTTTTACTAGATTGAGCGATATTTCACTCCTATATCATTTTTTTTTGGAATAATCGAACAAATTATGAGTACCTTCATTTTCGTATTGAGAAGAGAGAAGTTTTCAATTTATTCATTTTTGTGGTTTGATAAGAATCAGGATTTGATTTAGAGTTAGCTTCCTACATAGTAGGGTTGCAGTACTAGACCGTCCCGGGGCATTGTCTACAGTAATCCTGCTTTCCACCTGGGTCCCTATAACGCCTCCCTGTCTACTGCACACCTCAAATATACGTTACCTGTAATCCTAAACTTTCGAATCGATCGATTCTCATGCATACCACATTTGTAAGAAGGCATGGACAAATAGTGTACAGTTAGGAGCACCGGAAGTTTGCAAATTATAGTACAAAACTGTCATGTGACTATCTAAAAAGAGTTGCACCCATTAAAACACTGCTGGACAGGTTCTTGAAAACGAGAACTAATCGTTTCCGATTGATCGGAATCAAAACTTAGACAGAACAAGTTTGCAACCTACTAATTCATTGCACAGTAACAAAGGGAAGTAAAGCGCAGGCTCTTGAGGAGGATTGGGAGGAACGAGATGCTTCATTTCCACATGGGATCCTCTATTAATCAATCCTTGGAACTGTAATGTTCACCAATCTCTTTCTCAGGGGTTTTTCAAAGCTCATCCGAACCCAATCGATGAAAGTTACTTTCCTGTCACATACTTGTTACAGGTTTTAGATGTCTGTTGATAAATTGAGGGGTGATAGAATAAAAATGACAAATGGAGAGAGCAAAAAATATTCGCCAACGCGCCATATATCATAATTCCCCGACAGTTTTGCCATTCATCGGGCCCTTTTACAGCCAAGTACAAGTTCAATAGAACATTCTCAGTTAAGAGCTTACATATAACTCAAACTTTTGGAGGTGTTTCCTCGTAAGATTGGCGGTTCTTTGATGAGAAAATGTGTTCTTCGTGTTAGTCCAATTGGGAAAAACAAGAACAAAATAGAGCGTAAATCATATTAGGAATGGCCTCGGTAAACTGTCGTAATCCATCTTGTGTAAACTGTAATTGCAAAATGTTAAGTGACATTTCCTTGATGAATGTTGTCCGAGGGGGCTGTAGTGTGACATCAACGGTTCTCGGCCGGTTACTCATCATACAGCTAGTACAGAATCTCTCGAAGACTGCGTCTGGTGTAAATTGGGAATCTCACCAGTTACCATGAGGATCATAAGTTCCCTAGAGCATGGACAAGACAAATTTTTCAGAAGTTGAGGCCTTCATTGG